ATATTTGACTCAGAGCTACGTGCTACATGCAATTATGTTGATGTTCATCTTGCACTATAATTATGAATGATGTATGAACCACCTATCCCCTGCCAATTTTGATGACATGTTTTGCAATTTGCATATTGATAATGGTATTAAGTTTGAACTTTAACTTATTTAAGAAATTTGTAATTTTCAACTAGTTTTCCGAATATGTCCGATGTGTTTGTCACTTGTCCGTCCGATTTCCGAATCGGAATTCGGAAATTTTCGGAATTCCAAAATTTTCGGTTCCAATTGACACCTCTAGTGGAGGAACGCCCAAACAAGACCAGCCCACCGTCGGAGCAGCATGGAAATATCATGTTCTGCCTGGACGTCGGACCCGGCGGCCTCAGTGCACCTGCACACGTGCGGAGAGGGGCGCTGGAGGCTACTCTGGAGCTTCTGCCATTCCGCGGCGCGACTGCTGGCAAAACGGCGGCGATTGAGGCGGTTGGGAACAGCTGCAGCAATGGTGATGGCGGTGATGGCGACATGGCGGTTTGGGACTTCATCTCAGCGCGGCCGCCGCTCAGGCGCCGCTGCGCCCGGCTGCTCAGCCACCTACCGGATGGCGGGTGGCCCTTACGGCCCTCACGCCCGTTCGGTCTGCGGCCACGTTGTGGGGTGGCGGTCGCGGGGTTAGCGGCGTTGGACTTCGTCCTTTATCCAGACTGCACCGTACCATCTGAACGGATGGATCTGCCAAGAAAGATGACATCCAAGGCGGCTATGAGGCGATCACAAAGCTTCACCAAGAGCTTCTCCTTCATGGAGCCGGCCGGCCGTTAAGTCGCAACACCGGCTGCCGAGTGCCAACAGCTGCGTGCGCTGGCGCCGACGCGTTGTGGGCCGCGCTGCTGACGCCCAAGCTGCGATATCAACCATCTATGAATAAGTGGCAGCGGTGGCGGCTTGTCAGTTGTTAACGTGCCTTAACAGACGTTGCGAATAGCCCGCGTTGGAATCGCATGGTTGGCAACACAACGCAAGTAAAAATGGGCTTCCTTGATGAACCTACTTTTTAAGCATTGTAGCCTTTGTAATTTTGGATGTTTTGCTGTAGATATTATTTTCTACATATATACTATATAGGCACTCACGTGCTTTAACCCTATTAGTGGCAGGCTCCTGGCTACCCCATATTAGTGGCAGGGGGGGGGGGCTGTTTACGACCCCCCCCCCTTGATATCTCGAGATCTAACCGGCCGATTTTCAAAATTCAAACGGCATTCGATTTGGCTCAACGAGATCTACATTTCTAAAAAAAAAAAAAAAATGTCAATAGGGGGGTAGAGGGGGGTAAAAACGGGCAAATTGCAGATACATTTTAGACTGTTTATCACGGCCAGGTTTCTGAACCAATCTTAACGCAACTTTTGCCGATCGATAGAGAATGAACCAGGAATTCACATGGATCCTAAAAATATGCATTTTCAAAAATCATAGGCGGATACAGATCATTGAGATTGAGGGTACACAAAAAGTATAGTAAATAAGGTTTTTGTTGGTACTGTTTCTAAAAAGGGTGGCAATGGTCTTGTTATGTTACAATTTTCTTATGGGAGAACGACTAAAATTGTATTGGTCATGCATAGGCGGTGTCAGGGCACCTATGTTGGGAGGTAAAAAATAACCCCCCTTTTTGGACGCCTGGATCCGCCTATTATAGCAAAAACGTGTCAAAAGAGGATGCACAATAACTTTGTATATGTTATCACATGATACCTTTCATTCACTGTTCGTAAAACTGGTGCAGCATCGTGATCTTCGCCCAAATGACTCGCTTCACGAATAGGACCCCCAATTCCCAGTGCTCTGGAGCCGCCCCTGGTAAAGTTATGAACTTGAAATTTTCAGGGAATGTGCCCAATTTAGTTTTAGGAAAAGTCAGAAAATTTCAGCATCGTAGCTTCAGCGGTTTCGGAGATATTCCCGAAAAACCTGAGGGGTGGATAAAAACAACCCCCCCTGCCACTAATAGGGTTAAATCGCGCAATGCAATTGAACCATGGTAAAGACAATGATAAATGAACTGAGAGCTGACATGCCCCATGCTTTGTGTGTGTATGTGTGTGTGTTTTTTTGTTGTTTTTTTTTGGCTAGTCGATAAAAGTGGTTTTGGACACTGGATGAGTTTTTAGGGGTGTGGTGAGGGGGGATGTAATTCCACAGACCTTCTGTCAGATTCACTAATCCAGTAGGTCTGTGCGGTGTTTAGTTATCGGAGCATTCTTTGAAAGTCGTGAATAGGGCCACCGAGTACCTAAAGCCGTGATATTCCCCCACAAAAACTTCTTTTAAATAACCGGGGATAGGTACATGAGCAGAGTAAATGCTATTACGAACGCCTATCACAATGCTGAGCGAATAGGAAAATCCATAGATGGAGAATTGTGCCGCGTTACGGGTGCTCGGGCGCAGCCAATCCACCGTTACCCCAGCGGTGACCTTGACCCGCATCGTCTGTCTCGGCTCCAAAGCCAAACCGGCGTGGAATTGGGAGCGTTCGAGCACTCATGGTCCAGCGCAATTCTCCACCTAAATCCATTCCTGATACACATTTGCTTGCTCATAGTCATGTAACCCCGGTAAATTCACCCAACTTTCATATTGGTCGCTCCATAGACAGATGGCCACAGAGATCAACTTAAAAGGCCATTGTTGCATTCATTTAGTGGAGATCATTAAAGAGCCGTGACAGGCCACAAGTCGCGTGACATCATACGTGTAACGACCAATGACGTCGGCCTGCAAAACCCAATGGAAGCGGCTAGCAGCGTGCAATAAAACAGGGCGCTGCTTTCTAAATGTCTGTCGTGCGCCATAAATGAATATATTCTTTGTAGCCTGGCAACTCAGTATCTTTTTTTAACTATTGTACTAGTATTTAATAATTTCATAATTTTATAATTGTGCTTACGCTTTATGTTGATATTAGTGATAAATCCTTAGATAAAGTAAATCGATGTGATATTTAATAGAAAAATAGCAAACTAACGCACCATTCATTCGAAAGCTGGGGAACCTACTAAAAAGAACTACTAAAATTCCTGAGGAACCCAAGGATCAAATGGGGATTAAATAGATGCCTGCTATTCCGTCGTGAAAACGGCCAATTTAATTAAAAAATTATATTTTTAGGCAAGATATAAATACGATAATAGCAAACCCAAAAGAGCTAATCTTCATCCGTGTTTTGAACATAGAGTCATCCCAACAAGTTAAGAAGTGTAAAGAACACAAGCGTCTAAAGTTGAAAACATGGCAAAGTCACCCCCGTTTACGGTACCGTAATCATTCGCATGTCGGAATGGTTGTAACTTTCCATCTCAAACCGGCTGAATGTATTGTTGCATGTTTTCAGTCATCATTTCGATATCCGCAAGAAGCAATAGTCTCTAACTGGCTGGAAGACCGGCCCACAACCTACACAGTCCACAGTCAATAGTCCACACCGTTCTTTGAACATTATAAATATGAAGGTCGGCGCAAGTGATTTTTTCGATCATGAATTTTGTTCTTCACGGAAGCTGAAAACGCCTGTACCGCAAAGCTCGTCAAAAAAATTGAAATTCATCAAGATCAGATGGCCATGGAGAGAGGTAGCATAAACTTAAGCTTAGCTAAAATCAAATTATTTTTTCTGTGTCTCAGAATTTCATGGCCAATGCCAACACTGCTGGAGAAAACTTTTTTGTTCTATCCCGAATTATCTTTCACATAATTTTTTTCACCAAATTTTTACTAGCACAATGAAAGTTATTAGCATGCTAGCTATGCGTAAAATGAAAATGTCTTCTTTCACGCACCCAAACGGCGAAAAGTAACTTTGGTGAGATTGTTGTAACTCGGGAAGTTCGTTTGTTGGTGACATTGAAGTAAGTTTACTATTCCGATCCACGGCTTGTGACTATTTAATCATGTCCTTCCTTAGATCATTTTCTCCTGGTTGTCACCGCTCATTTACCTGACCATCTGTTTTGGTGCGTGATTTCCCGGCCTCAGTCGTGTGCCAGTATCACGGGAGCCGAGCCGAGGGGCGCGCCGCCACCATCCATTAGGTGCGCGGGCCGCTGTCAAATGACGACAGGTCATACGATGGGTCACTGTGGGCCGCTAATGAGCGTGCTGACCGGTCGGCGGCGGCGGTGGCGCGGTACCTGGCGGCGCTGGGTGCCACACGCACCTGGGTGGCGCGCGACCAATCGGCCCCAGCAGGCGACCGCCTGCTCGCAGCGAGAGCGCGTCAGTGGCGGCTGCGGGGCTCCACCGCCTGCTGGAAGGGCTGAGACCTCAGACTACACAATGGTGACTTGATGGTACGCGCTATGTGATGCTGTGTGACGTTCTGTGACACTGAGGAACGTGCTGAATTCCGCCCGATCCTCGGCGAGTTAACCGCTCTAGAACGGGAATGACAAAGCTGATCACAACCATGCACTATGTACTACGTAGTAGCAATAAGAACACGTATGTCAGAACTTTTCCGTATTCGTAATGCCATGTAAACAAATTTGCACAAGACGAAATTTGTACCTCCGTTATTCTTAGCTACCTACATAAAATTGCCATGAATCTTTAAAGGTAGGTAACGGAAGTAATGCTAATATGCTTACTCGTATTATGGCATTGCTTTTAAAAAACTACCACCCGTCTACACGACTATCTTATAAATATTTAATCTCACAAATAAACGCCACGACCATGAACAAACACATCAACTTAAACCGCCGACTATCATGCAACGAGGTCAAGATTTCCAGGTCGCTATGTGCATATATCATGACAAGGTTACCGGTCGAGTCGCGAGTAACCATGGCGACACGGGCACGCCTCCGGTAAATACCGCCGCCGGGCACGGTTCGATCACCTGGTGCGGCCGCGCGCTGCGGTCACGTGACCGGCCGGCGCGCGCCCGCGCTCGGTCGGCTGGCGCGCGGTCAGTTGACAGCGCCTCGGGGCACGGAGGGGTCACGCGCGGTGCCGGCTCATGGGTGTGCTATATCGTGGTGGAACGGTGCGTCGGTCGAGGAGGAGCTGAGCTGAAGGTGGGTGCAAGGAGGCAGCGCGCGGATAGACGGGCCGGCAGACGTGGTTGGTCCAAAAGGTCAAGGATGCTGTATGTAAAAGGTGCTGCATAGACCACGCGTGCCTCGGTATATAGCTATGTCTATGGCTTCTGCCATTGATGCTTTCAATCATCCCTCTGTTTGATAACGCTTCGAAATGCGTTACCACTGCAAATATGCACGTGTTACCAGCGCTTGAACGGAGGTGCAAATGCACTGTATGGCTAGGAGGATCCTTTTATGCAGAGATTGAGATAAAGTGCTGATCACATGCGCCAATGGCGAGCGACGCCATGTGGCTATGCCGTAGAACGATAGGTCCGTAGGGGATACGTGAGGAAGGATACGTGACGGTAGTAGGCTAGTGACTAGTGCAAAATATTATCTCAAATAGGTACTCAAAAGGTAAACGTCATCAATGCGGATGCCAAGTCTAAGAGACATATTGATTCACATCTGGTTTAATGTAACGATTTTTTTCTCTCGACGAAACCGGTGAAAAAAAGATCGCATGAACTATTCAGCTTAATTATAGTTACGTTAACTTAGCTAAAATAGTTGTTTATCAAATAACTTATGAGCTGTCATACTTAATGCAAATAACGTCAGTCAATCACCTCAAATGATCCTCAAATTACGAATACTCAAATTAATAAATGATACCTCAAATGACACGGTTGTTTCGATACCTACATATTTATTTGTTTTAAAGGCATACCTATTGGTGCACCTAGAAATATCACATTGTAAACAATTGTCACATTACAACTCAACATGTCAAATAATGTAAGAGATGCAACATATACTTTACGACACGAATTTTATCTACGAGACAAGTATTACCGAACGAGAAACCAACTGAGTTTTTTAGACGAAGAATTGCCCGCGCTGTTACATATCCCATGTTCTCGTAGATAAATGTGTCTTTTCATTACCCTTGAAGAAGTTATAATAAACGAAACGTCGGGTAATTTTTGTTGTAATATCTTGCATATTTATGAAATAATTGTCACATTACAACTCAACATGTCAAATAATGTAAGAGATGCAACATATACGATACGACACGAATTTTATCTACGAGACAAGTATTACCGAACGAGAAACCAACTGAGTTTTTTAGACGAAGAATTGCCCGCGCTGTTTCATATCCCATGTTCTCGTAGATAAATGTGTCTTTTCATTACCCTTGAAAAAGTTATAATAAACGAAACGTCGGGTAATTTTTGTTGTAATATCTTGCATATTTATGAAATACTTGTCACATTACAACTCAGCTGGAATGTTAATGCATCGCCTATTTTGTTACAGCCACGGAAAGATATCATCCGAGACATAGTTATTCAGCACTGTTTTAGAACTTGTTGCGACGCTCAGATGCACGGCAGACCAAAGAGACTTATTTTACGGTGCCCGTTGTTATCCTATCACCCGTTCACTCGGGATTCCTCCCCGGCAGGAGCACCACTGACAATCTTGTCAGGCTCACAGTTGACGTGCAATCCAGCTTTGCAAGGAAAACCTGCACAGCAGCACTATTTCTCGACATACAAAACGCATACGACACACTGAACATCACCGCACTTCTCGCCTATCTCAAACGCATTGGCATAGATGGACACCTCATGGCCTACCTGAACAACTACCTCACAAAACGCACATTCAAAGTCAGACACCTCACACACACACATCAAACACACAGTACCCGAGCACCGGACTCATGCAAGGGACAGTACTCAGTCCACTGCTCTTCGTACTTGCACTCAACTCACAACTCAAACAGAACACAAGACAAGTCAAGATAGCCACCTACGCCGACGATATAGCAATCTGGACAACACAAAACCAGCTAGGAAGCACTCTAACACAACTCGAAAGGACACTCAACAACATTACTCAAAAACTTCAGACACTCAACCTTCACATCTCACCTTCAAAGACACAATGTGTCGTCTTTGGGCGACATAGCACCGAAAACAGCCAACCGCTCATGCTCAATGGCACACCTATCCCTTTCAGTAACAATGCAAAATTTCTTGGCATCACTTTTGACAAGAACTTGACATTCAGCAAACACATCAATGACATCCGCGACAGAGCGACACGACGCATTAACATTCTCAGAGCACTCACCAGCACGGAATGGGGAGGTGACAGACACACGCTCACCAAACTCTACGAAGCAATCATCCGACCGGTTCTTGAGTACGGAGCAATCATTTTTGAAAACGCTGCACCTACACACCTGAAGAAACTCGACGTCATCCAAAACAAATGCATTAGGACCATCACAGGCGCCTACCGCACTTCACCTGCAGCAGCACTCCACGTTTACAACAACACGCCACCTCTGCACTACAGGAGATCACAAGCACTCTTCAGATACTTCTTCAAAATCCAACAAATCCCACAACACCCATGCATTCCACTGATCAACAGGAGGTCGTGTTACACTACCACACGGAGATCACGCAACAGAATCACAATCGGCAGACGACTTAAACAACTATCAAAGACACTTGACATCACACTTCCAAGGTCACACCCTGCACCACCCCTTCCAGCCTACTGGGCTGACACAGCACCCACCACCCACACCCTCATAGATCAAAGCAAACACACACTCACAGACACAGAAATACAGCAAAGTTTCCTCGAATACATACACCATCACAAACCGACCAACATCTTTTTCACTGACGGCTCAAAGCACAACGACAGAACAGCCGCAGCAACCATTCTTCACCGACACCAAGCACAACCGACAATCACCTTCAGGGCCCGCCTCCCAGACCACACATCTGTATACACAGCAGAGCTATACGCCATCTACACAGCATACACCACAATCCAAGAACATCAACTAACAAACAGCATCATCGCAACAGACTCCAAGTCTGCGGTGACCGCTATCAGACACACCACTACGACCCGAACACACCCCATAATCCACCACATTCTATACACGCAACACCAACTTGACCCGGAACAACAGCCTGCCATTATCTGGATCCCCGGGCACTGCGGCATCCCCGGCAATACGCAAGCAGACGCACACGCCAAACATGCACTTCAGCAACCACAACCGATCCACATCCCACTCTCACTAAATGACTTTACACCCATTATCTCAGCCCAACTACACAAACACTACCAGTCAATATGGCACAACACACGAACCGCACTACAAACCATTCAACCACGCATAGAACACTGGCACACCAAGAACATGAACTCACGCAAAAACGAGAGGGCTATCACACGACTTCGCATCGGACACACCACTATCACACACAACTACATCATCACAAGAAGCCCGAGACCAAAATGCAACACCTGCAACACTTTCATCACTGTCAAACATCTGCTACTCACATGCCCACAATACCAACACCACAGGACAAACATACAAACGTACTGCAGAGACGCCAACATCCCACTAACACTCACAACACTGCTCGGGGACTTACACCCCGAGCTAACAACACTACTCATCCACTACATACACAACACTGGGCTGATAAATGACCTGTAAATCTCCTCCCTTAGAGCCAAGGACAAAAAAGCCAAAAAAGCCAAAAAAAAAAGCCAAAAGAAAGAAAAAAGCCAAAAAAAAACATTCAAAACAATGACAATCAAAATAAAAGACCCCAGAATGGCAAAATGGCAAAAAAAAAAAGAGACAAAAAAGCATAAAAAAAGAAAAAAAATAGAAGGGGCAATCCGGCTACCCGGGAGGAGATAGCTAGGAACCCTGACCCACCCCTCACCCCACCCTTTCGAGCCAAAGAAGACGACGGACACTGCAAGACAACGGACGGACCAACAATGAAGACGGACGACAGAACCGGGCCCAAATACAGGACGCTGTGGTGGCCCGTAAGCCACAAATACCTACCTACCTACCTGCGTATGGCACGTAAAAAGACGTCCGTGTACCTACTATCCGGGATGAAACATAAAACTGTAAAAATATGAAGGTTGAATGGCATTTAGGTAAATACTGCCTACGTACGGACATGTCATAGGTATCGTGTTGTCTGCGCCTATATAGCAACCAGAAAAATCATTGCGTAAAGATTAAAAATCGTTAGATGATCTAAGCAAGTGTTCCCAGCCACATGCGATTACAAATACTGATTGACCGACTTCGTATAGAAACGAGAGCTCGTGAAGATGGCTAAAAAAGCACGGTGACGACTGACGAGTTACAACCAGTGCAGCATACGAGCTACGGAACATAGCTTCTTTCCGTTGTGACTACGAGACAGCTTCATGTGTCACAATTCAGTGATTTTTTTCGGACATCTGCTTTGTGGTGCTGCCTTTTATAAAATTAAATATGTAATGGAGCTTTCATTTCTCATCAAGGGACTGAAGTCCGTTTGCGAGTACGTTACCGTGAGTGATAGTCGTTCTAACGTAGCTACAAGATGTTTGGCAACTACGAGACGCGAGCCAAAGTGTGATTCTATTCTGTGTATATGTATTCGTGACTCGAAAGCGTAACAACCATGGGTAGAATCAGAAGGGCGGTCTTGGACGCTGCGGGCCGTGCGGGGGGGGGGGCATACCCACAGAAAAGTTTCTCTAAATTAAAAAAATAATAATTGGATTTCGATTCCTTATGCACTGCTGTGCCGTTTAAAGCAATCTTTTCCAAATAAAAGTTTTTTAAGTTTTTTTTTATTCCAGAAAAAAAACTACAAATTTTCATCGACCTCTGGCGTTGCGAGGGGTGTATTTGGCCCAAATACACCCCCTGGATCCGCCAGTGGTAACAACATGATACATGTGGTCCGTTTCTTGTGTAACATTGCATGACATTAAAAAAGGGTACCTTATGACTGCGCTAATTTTGTCTAACGTTGCTGTCACTCCGCTGTCTCCTTGCATTATCGGGGGACATCTCAGACAGCGATTGAGAAAACAGCGACTTAAAAACAGCGGCTCACTCATAACAGCGTGCGTACATTGTA